TGGAAGGGTTTTGCAGGGGATCTGGGGAGGTTTGGGGGGTCCTGGAGGAAATTTGGGGGGATTTGGGGGGTCCCCAGGGCATTTGAGGGTGATTTTGGGGGTCCTGGAGGGAATTTGGGGCAGATTTTGGGGGGTTCTGTGTGAATTTTACGGATCTGGGCTGGATTTTTTGCTCTTTTTTTTTGCTTTTTTTAAATTTTCCCCCAAAATTTTGGGCATTTCCTGGTGGATTTCGAATTTCCCACCTCCCTCCGTGCTCCCCCATTTTTATTTTGGAATTTTGGGGGGATTATCCCCATTATTTTTTGGAATTTGGGGGGAATTACCCCCATTATTTTTTGGAATTTAGGGTAGGATTATCCCCATTGTTTTTTGGAATTTAGGGTGGGATTACCCCCATTATTTTTTGGAATTCGGGGGGATAACCCCCATTGTTATTTTTTGGAATTTAGGGTGGGATTACCCCCATTATTTTTTGGAATTCGGGGGGATAACCCCCATTGTTATTTTTTGGAATTTAGGGTGGGATTATCCCCATTATTTTTTGGAATTCGGGGGGATTACCCCCATTATTTTTTGGAATTTAGGGTGGGATTTCCCCCATTATTTTTTGGAATTTTGGGGGGATTATCCCCATTATTTTTTGGAACTTAGGGTGGGATTATCCCCATTATTTTTTGGAATTTGGGGGGAATTACCCCCATTATTTTTTGGAATTTCGGGGGTATTCCCCCCATTATTTTTTGGAATTTGGGGTGGGATTCCCCCCATTATTTTTTGGAATTTGGGGGGTCTCACCTTGTAGCCCCCTCCCCAAATTCAGGTTCACGGCCGACGTTCGCTCCGTGCTGAGCCGCAACCTCCACCAGCACCGCCTGTGGTGACCCCGGAGACCCCCGGGACCCCCGGGGACCCCCCCCAGGATGGGACCCTCGGGACCCCCAGGGACCCTCCCAGATGGGACCCCCAGGACCCCCGGGGACCCCTGGGATGGGACCCCCGGGACCCCCGGAGACCCCTGGGACCCTTGGGGACCCCCAGAGACCCCCGGGATGCCCCTGGGGACCCCCAGGAGCCCCAGAACCCCCCGGGGACCCCCCCGGGATGGGACCCCCGGGATGGGACCCCCGGGATGGGACACCCAGGACCCCCCTGGGACCCCCCCCCCGGGATGGGACCCCCGGGATGGGACCCCCAGAGCCCCTCTGGGGACCCCTGGACCCTCCTTGGGAGCCCCCCGGGATGGGACCCCCGGGGACCCCCTCGAGACCCCTGGGATGGGACACCCAGGACCCCCCTGGGACCTCCCCCAGGATGGGACCCCAGGATGGGACCCCAGGATGGGACCCCTGGGACCCCCCTGGGACCCCCCTGGGACCCCCAGAACCCCCCTGGGACCCCCCCAGGATGGGACCCCTGGGATGGGACCCCAGGATGGGACCCCTGGGACCCCCCCGGGACCCCCAGGATGGGACCCCTGGGATGGGACCCCAGGATGGGACCCCCAGGATGGGACCCCCAGAACCCCCCTGGGACCCCCCCGGGACCCCCAGGACCCCCCTGGGACCCCCCCCCAGGATGGGACCCCCAGGATGGGACCCCTGGGACCCCCCGGGACCCCCAGAACCCCCCTGGGACCCTCCCCGGGCCGGACTCTTCTCCCCCTCCTCATTTTTTTTGGGGGGGGGGATGGAAATAAATAAATTTTGGGGGGGGGGGTGGGGTTTTGGTGCCCCACCCCCTCCCCCCCACGTGCCTGAATTTTGGGGGGGCGGGGGGGCTTCAATTGGGGGGTGGGGGAGGGGCTTTTTGGGGGAGGGGTCGCCCCTCCCCGGACATTTTGGGGGTCGCCCCCCCCCGGTTTTAAAAGCTCTTGGTCCCACTGATGGGGGGGGGGGGGGTTCCTGGGAGAAAAACCCCAAATTTTGGGGTGAAAACGTCGGATTTTGGGGGGGGGGGGG